GCCTCAGCCTCAGCCTGCTTCAGCCTCAGCATCAGTCTGCCTTCAGCCTCGGCCTCGGCCTCGGCCTCAGTCTCAGCCTGAGCCTGCTTCAGCCTCAGCCTCAGCCTCAGCCTGGCTCAGCATCAGCCTGCCTCAGCCTCAGCCTCAGCCTGCCTCAGCCTCAGCCTCAGCCTGATTCAGCCTCAGCCTCAGTCTGCCTTCAGCCTCGGCCTCAGCCTCAGGCTGCCTCAGCCTCGGCCTGCATCAGCCTCAGCCTCAGCCTCAGCCTGCCTCAGCATCAGCCTGCCTCAGCCGCAGCCTCAGCCTGCCTCTGCCTCAGCCTCAGCCTCAATCTGCCTTCAGCCTCGGCTTCAGTCTCAGCCTGCCTCTGCCTCAGCCTGCATCAGCCTCAGCCTCAGCCTGCCTCAGCATCAGCCTGCCTCAGCCTCAGCCTCAGCCTCAGCCTGCCTCAGCCTCAGCCTCAGCCTGCTTCAGCCTCAGCCTCAGTCTGCCTTCAGCCTCGGCCTCGGCCTCGGCCTGCCTCAGCCTCAGCCTGCATCAGCCTCAGCCTCAGCCTGCCTCAGCATCAGCCTGCCTCAGCCTCAGCCTCAGCCTGCCTCAGCCTCAGCCTCAGCCTCGGCCTGCTTCAGCCTCAGCCTCAATCTGCCTTCAGCCTCGGCTTCAGTCTCAGCCTGCCTCAGCCTCAGCCTGCATCAGCCTCAGCCTCAGCCTCAGCCTGCCTCAGCCTCAGCCTGCATCAGCCTCAGCCTGCTTCAGCCTCAGCCTCAGCCTGCATCAGCCTCAGCCTGAGTCTGCCTTCAGCTTCGGCCTCAGCCTCAGCCTGCCTCAGCCTGCCTCAGCCTCAGCATCAGCCTGCCTCAGCATTCAAAATGTGGCCAGGGAATGGAATTCTGGGAACTCGAAGAACACGAAGTGGCCTACAGTTGGCTCCGGGCATTCAAAATCATGGCCCAGGAATGGAGTTCTGGGAACTCGAAGAGCACGAAGTGGCCTACAGTTGGCTCCGGGCATCCAAAATGTGGCCCGGGAATGGAGTTCTGGGAACTCGAAGACCACGAAGTGGCCTACAGTTGGCTCCGGGCATTCAAAATGTGGCCCGGGAATGGAGTTCTGGGAACTCGAAGACCACGAAGTGGCCTACAGGTGGCTCCGGGCATCCAAAATGTGCCCGGGAATGGAGTTCTGGGAACTCGAAGACCACGAAGTGGCCTACAGTTGGCTCCGGGCATTCAGAATGTGGCCCGGGAATGGAGTTCTGGGAGGTCGAAGAATGGAGTTCTGGGAGGTCGAAAAGCACGAAGTGTGTGACTGTTTGCGAAAAACGAGGTTCCCCGGCAATCCCCAACGGCCCCCCAACGGCCCCCCAACGGCTCTCCAACGGCTGCCCAGACCCCCCTGTGGAGTAATGTGCTGCTCTCTTTTTACACCATTAGAAACCTATCAGTCTTCGCTGTTAGGTAATAAGACCAAACCCGTCGTTGTCCCCCTTCAGGGTCGGCGGCACCGGCCAGAAGGCCGTCGCAATAGGGCCAAAACCTAACTAAAAAATCAACAGGGGAAGGAAAAAAGAACAGAAGGATTGCCAGCCCGACCCTCACGGGCGGGTCGGCCCCGGTGGACCCAAAGAGGGTGAGCTCGGGCGGGCCCTTCCGGGCGGGTCGGGAGAATCCACCCCCATAATAATCACCCCGACAAGCGAAGCCGCTTAGTAAACGTACCCATGGAAAGCATCGAACAGGGCAAGGCTGTTTAGTAAACGCCCAAGGCCGTTTAGTAAATATCGATTGTCAGGTCTGGGTGGTTTTTCCTCCCGGTCGGGAGGACGGACCCCAACGGGCGGGTCGGGCAGGCAGACCCAGACGGGCGGGCGAGTCGGGCAGGCGGGTCCCGACAGGCGGGCAGGCCACTGGGGCGGACAACACAAGCTGTAAAGGACTCTCAGGCGAGAGCACGATCCACGAGTTAGTTGTGAGGAGGTCTCATGCGAGAGCGCGATTTCCAAACGTCGAGGGCGCGGCGTCTGAGTAAATTGCAAAGAAGCCTTGGGCAAGAGCGCGATTACGAATAAGTTGAGAGGGCTTATCGGGCGGGAGTCGCTGTTGCTGTACACCGGGAGCCAACAACACAGTTTGGAGCCCCAGGACTGTTCCTGATGAATAATCGGGTGCACTTCAACTGATAAAAAAAAACAATGGGCACTAGATGGGGGAGATCAACAATAAAATATTCTTCATAAGTGAAAGTTCAGCCATAACAACGAACACAACACATCCGAGGTACGTATGGGTCCTCCCCCCCTCAATCCTCTCCTCAGTCGGCCCTTGGGGTGCATTCTGACCAAAACCTCGAGGCGAATCGAGCCGTGGCGACGAAAAACCTCCCGCAGGCCCACAACGGGACTAAATACGGGCCCAGCCTGGTCTCCCCAGGGGGAAAAGAAAAGATACCACCGATCCCGCAACTCCGCGGACCTCTCCTGGGGTGCATTCTGACAAGGCTG